CAGGTGCCTGTGGTCTCAGCTACTTGGGAGGCTGAGGCAGGAGACTCACTTGAGCCCAGGAGTTGGAGGTTGCTGTGAGCTGTGATGCCACAGCACTCTATCCAGGGGGATAACTTGAGGCTCTATCTCAAAAAACAAACAAACAAACAACAACAAAAAAACACATCACAATGTACCCATTAATATGTATAATTATTATTTACCAATAAAAATTTAAAAAATAAAAATAAATGAACAGAATCATCATAAAAAACTCCTGTGGGTAGACTTCATGGTAGATGCCTTATTTATCCACTGTGGGTGCAATTCCCCAACTTTGGGAGAAGATAGCAGGCTTTTCCCTGCTTCCTAGACACCAAGAAATGTCCTGACTCAGAAGATCTGACTCATCAGCTTAACTTTAAATTAAATTAACTTTATTTTTTAAATTAACACGTACTAATTGTACATATTTATGGGGTATGTGGTAGGGTTTTTTTGTTGATTGGATTGTTTTTTTTTTTTTTAGTGGCCAGACTTTTAAAACAGATAGGCTCATTCTCTCACCCCAGCTGGAGTCTGATGGCAGAATCATAGCTTACTGCAGCCTTGTACTCCTGGATACAAGCAATTCTCCTGCTTCAGTCTCCCGGGTAGCTGGGATTACAGGTGCACACCACCATGTTTGGCTAATTTCGTTTTTCTTATTTTTAGAGATGGGGTATGTGTGTGCGGGTTCACATTGTCTTGCCCAGGCTGGTCTTGAATTCCTGATCTGAAGTACTTGAGATCCCCTCAGCCTCCTGCGTCCTTGGGATTATCCAGGCACTGGGTGCCTGGATCCTGGGAATGTTTTGGTACTTAATGATGTATAGTGATCAGACAATTTGCATATCCATCATCTCAAACATTTAACATTTCTTTGTGTTGGGCACATTCATTATCCTCTCTTCAAGCTATTTGAAAATACATAGAGAATAGAACCGAGGATACTAGAGGTTTGGAAGGGGAGGGGAAAGGAGAGAGAGGGAGAGGTTAAGAAAGGATCCTAAATCACAGCTAGACAGGAGGACTATGTTCTGGCGTTCTATACCACTGTAGGATGACTATAGTTAACAATAAAATATATTTCCAAATGGCTAGGGAATTAGCTCTTTCTCCAGATAGTTCATTTGGGATTCACACTTCAATGAGACCCGAGGTTTGAATAGTTGTGTCTAAGTTCCCAAACCCAGGCATTATTTGACAAAAGGTAGAACCCAATGTGCTTCCAGGATGGGTACAGAGATACCTGTTTGAACAAGGGCAAACTGAGTTGGCATTGAGTCTAAAAGACCTCCTGATAAAATGTAAAGAGGCCATATTTTAATGAGACAGACAGTGAAGGGACTGGACCTGGAAACAACGTTTGGTTTTGCAAGTAGAACAGGAACGGATCTTGTCAAATACCTGCCAATGTCAAGGGCTATTAAAGCATTTTTCTAAGGAGACAGGAATAAGTATGAAACTAAATCGATACAGAAAAAGATGGACAGGCTGGGCAGTCAACCTGAGCGTTGATCTTGTCTCTCGGATGTTGGGCCTCTAGGAAATTATTTTCCACTTCCTTTTCAGGATTGTCAAATACAGCGAGCAGTTTTTATCCAACGATGCCATCATGTCAGGCTGCCTCCCCAGCAACCCTTGGATAACAGACGATACCCAGTTCTGGGATTTAAATGCCAAATTGTATGTATTCGATATGTTATGGTTTTTCTTAAACAGCTTTTTGAGTTATAATTGACCTGCCATGCAATTCACCTATTTAAACCGCACAATTCCGTGCTTTTTTGTTATATTCATAGAGCAGTGAAATCTCATTATGATCAATTTTAAAACATTTTCATCACCCCTAAGAGAAACTCTGTACACCCCTCCAACCTGAGGCAGCCGTGAATTTACGTTCCATCCCTATGGATTCTCCTGTCCTGCACATTTTGTGTCAATGGAATCATCCATTCAGTGTTCTTTTGGGACTAGCTTCTTTCACGTAGCATAATGTTTTCATGGCTCGTCCAGGCTTAGTTAGGGCTGGATAATATTCATTGTGTGGATATACCACATTGTGTTCATCCATCCATTCATTTGGGTTGCCTCTGCCTTTTAGCAATCACGAATGATGCTGATATGAACATCCATGCACACTTCTTTTTTTTGAGACAGAGTCTTACTCTGTGTCCTGTATCCTCATAGCTCGCAGCATCCTTAAACTCCTGGGCTCAAGTGATCCTCTCGCCTCAGCCTCCCAAGTAGCTGGGACTACAGGCGCCTGCCACAATGCCCAGCTATTTTTAGAGACAGGGTCTCGCCCTTGCTCAGACTGGTCTTGAACTCCTGAGCTCAAGCAACCCCCTTGCTTTGGCCTCTCAGTGTGCTAGGATTACAGGCCTGAGCCCCTGTGCCCTGCCTCCTTTTGGTTTTAATTTATCTTGGGCGTATATCTAGGAGTAGAGGTGCTGAGTCAAATGATGACTCTGTTTAACAATATGTTATTTTTGAAAATGAAAAAATTATCTTTATGGTTTTGCATATGTGAGATCTAATTAGATAAAAAGTTCCAGGAAAGCAGGGCCCCAAACCTGCCGGGGCCTTGATTCCTTTTCCTTCACACTGTGAATTCTAAGCAGTTGTTGCTAATTCTATTTTCATAAATGTGTTGTCTGCAAGACGGGGCAAGGGCGGCATCCCAGAAGAGAGAAGGGGTAGGGGTCAACTCAGGAAAGTCAGGGTGGGGGAAGGGGTGGTGTGAGTGGGTGAAGGAGGTGGGGTGATGAGCACCAGGTACTCACTCACCACTGCTGGGGTAATGCCCAGGCCATCACCTGCCAGCCATGAGGAACTCACGGGTAACTCTGACCCAGCCAGGGAAGCAGGCATAGCCTGAGGGGCAGGGCTGATTCTTGTCTCAGCACAGCCACTGTGCCAGTTCCAAGTGGCCCGTTCTGATGGATTAAGGAAGCCGCTCATGTGGGGCTTGGGGTCACCTGAGCCAAAGGCTCTAGAATTGCCCATGAGGAGGCTTCCCTCACCCTCTGGGGAATCTAGTTATCAGGGTCATTCTCCAGCACCTGTGTCTGTCTCTGTGTATGTGCTGAGGGAGGTGACCCACACAGCATGGGCAGAAAGCCGCTGTCCATGGAGGGGCTGGCAGGACAGCCTGGCTGGGAAAAGCATTGTCCCAGGGGGCTTAGGGAGAAGATGTGACAGCTGGACTTTAAATGACATGGGGAGTATGGGGTTGGAGATGGAGGTAGAGATTGCTGGTGAAGGTTGAGGGTGAGGAAAGGGTGAGGTTTTGTGTAGGAGTCATGTTCAGAGGGCACTGGGGGATGCCCAGTGACGGTGGGAAACCTTGTTCTTACTGGTTTAGAAGATTTGTGAGTGGTATTAAAATTATGTGCAAAGCCTTTAAAGAAAACCTAAACCAATATCCAGGCCTCATCCCCAAACCTCTTATTTGTAGGAATTGGTCTGTGTTGCCCTGTCACCCCTTTTGGGGTGTTTTAAAAGCTCCATGATTTTTGTGGGTAGCCTAGATTCGGACTGGGTTAGAGCATGAGTCCTGGGCCAGGAATCTCGAGAAATGCAAATTCACGGGCCCCACTCACGCCGAGCAAATCAGAAGCTCTGGGGCGGGCCTTGCAAGCTGCCGTAATGAGTCTTTCAGGTGATTCTGGTGTCCGGTAACATTTGCAAACCTCTGACTTCATCCTGGCTCTGCTTCTCGCTAGTTGTGTGAGCTGAGGTATGTATTTGGCCTCGGTCTTCCCAGCAATGAAATGGGATAATAATGCACATAGTGTTGTCTTAAGGGTCCAGCCGCACGTGCGTAAAGCACAGCACGTCAGGTATGCTGACCCCGCACCTGGCAGCTGTCGGTGCTGTTGTGTGGTCTTACTGGTTTTACACTTGGTAGCAGAAGTCTAAGCTTGCCCACCATACTTTATTTGGGATCTCACGGACATGATTTGTACCTGGTTCCCATCCCAGCAGCTGCCTCAGTGGGAAACGTGGAGCGATGAACTTGAAATCTCTGTTTCAAAGGGACTGTGTTGGCTTTAGAATTCTATAAGGAGAAGAGAAGAAAACGACTATCTCCACGCTTCTCTGGAATGTTAGGCCTCTGCTAGCTGGGTCCCCATGTCCTCCCTGGGGAGAGTTTTCTGAACATGGAAGTGAGGTGGGAGGAGAGGCTCTGGGTGAGAGCGCGTGGATTGCAATGAAGTGTCTGTACGGGGCCACCATCGCCTGAGGACAGAGACAGTGTGGGTGACAAGCACCCTATGAGTGGCAGTGACTGTAGCACCCATCACCAGTGCTGCTCCAGACTTCTGTCCTGAGCTGAGGGGTGTGGGGGGAGGGAGGAGGCAGCTGCCCGAGCCTTGGCTGCCTGGTTTCCAGGCTGTAACCAGGCCTTGGAGGGAGCATTCACGGTCTGCCCTGAGCCCTCCACCTGGGCACCTTCCTCGCTTGTAGGGTAGCCATGTCCTTGATGTGAGCCCAGAGTACTCGTCTGAGGCTCCACCTTCCCAGCAACTGATGACTTGGTTGCTGTGCTCATGCAGGGATTGAGGAGAAGGGAGAGGAGGATGAGGCCAAGCCCTGGGCCGTGGGACCAATGGGGCTTGGGAGAGCTACTGCCCCTCACCCCGACCCAGATCCCAGCTGGGCACAGCCCCTGCCCCGGGGCCAGTGTCCGGGGCCTTCACACATCACTGTCTTTGCAGGGTGGAAATCCCAACCAAGATGCGGGTGGAGCGATGGGCCTTCAACTTCAGCGAATTGATCCGAGACCCCAAGGGTCGGCAGAGCTTCCAGTACTTCCTCAAGAAAGAATTCAGTGGTGGGTCTCTTCTAAAAACAAAAGTTAGCAAATTTACGTTTAGAAACAGGCCCTCAGTGTCTAGCTTCTGGTGTGGGGACCTTCCCAGCAGGTGTTTTCATAGCTTGGCTTGTGCCCTTACCCAGGTGCTCCTTTGACAGCTTCCTGAGTGGTGCCAAGTGCAGGCTCCCCGCTCTTTCCTTTCTCGAAGGAACCCCATAGTCTGGTCACAAACTCCACATTAGTGTCCCTCACATTTCCGGGAGCTCCATCCATCTCCGGGGCCCTCACTGCCACCCACGAGCTCCTGCTCTGCAGGCCCCCAGGGAAAGCTTTTGGGGAGAAACCTTGGAAAAGTGAATGGGGACAGGCAGTCTTTCCCGTTTTGTCTGCCAGCCTGCTTTTCCTTAGCCCAGTGGTTCTGCACATTTGATTCATCTGGGCATGTTTTAAAGCGTATGCTTGCCTGGATCCCATTCCCAGAGAATGGGGTTGAAGTCTCCGAAGTTTTGAAAACTCCCCACAGGATGCTAATGTGCGGTGATGAGAACCACCGGCCTCGCTCTTGGCCTGATTTCTTCAGGGCTAATTTAGGAGTGGGTAGATTGCAAAGGAATGGGGAGGGGCCACCTTTACATTCTGTCTCTTTTCATGGTAGGCACTCATGACTTCAATATATTATGCATCTGGGAAAACCAAGAGGCCAGATTAGAACCAATTTTACTAGGCTGTGCATTTAGTTGGTTTCCCCCCTTTCATTGAAATATTTATTTTTATAAGACACATTTATTTCCTTCTTGAGTTCTCAGCCCTGGGACCCTCACATTTGCACCTTCACACTCAGCCAGCTGCCTGCTACCCAAGACCTACTTATCTGGGGGGTTGCTCCTGACACTAATCCTACTGGCCATGCCTTTATCCTGGTTGACTGCCAGATGCAGAACATTACATAATAACATGTATTATTGAAAATCCTTCTATCTAATCAAGCCTAATTGCCATGATATAATAAAATCCAGAAAAGATGGGTGGAAAGGGGACGTTCTGGCAAATGAGCGATTAGGGTGCCATCTAGTGTCAAAATGACAAATGACACCCTGAGTTTATCGCACCCGCAAAAAACGTTTCCCTACATTATTTAAAGTGTACTGCTGGCAATATCTTCAAGAGATCCCCGAAGCTTCGGATATGAACAGAGCAGAAGAATTATCAGTTTAATCATTTATTTTCTGAAAAAGTTTATGTTGAAATATAATTCTCATACCATGAAATTCACCCTTTTAAAGAGTACATTTCAATGCAGCACACTAAATCATGCAACCGTCACCACCGTCTACCCTCCAAAAGAAGCCACTTACCCATCAGAAGTCATGCCCTATACCTCCCTCTGCTCCCCACTGCTCCCCACTGCTCCCCTTCCCCGGCCCCAGCCCCAGACAACCACAAATCTGCTCTCCATCTCCGTGGATTTGCCTCTTCTGGGTATTTTATAGAAATGGAATCATTTCTGGGCCTCTGTCTTCTTTTGCTTAGTGTAATGTTTTCAAGGCCTGTCCATCCGAGTTGTAGCATATAAAAGTGCCTCATTCTTTTTTATGATCACATAATATTCCATTGCGTGGCTCTGCCACATCCTGTGTATCTTTCCCTCAGTGGACATTGGGCTGGTTTCCAGCTTTTGGTTGTTGTGAATGATTGCTCATTTAATACCCTGGGCAATTAACTCCTTGTCAGGTCAGCACGTTACTGGTGTGTGATCTCAGTCCCAAGAATAACCTCAACTTCATGCTAAAGAGGAGGGACCTCTGTAAAGTGATGGGACAAATGTCAATTGCCAACCAGCTTAGAATTGTTCAGTCTTTCCTAATCTGAAAAAGCTTTTGCACATGGGTTTGAACTGTATAGGTCAACTTATATGTAGATTTTTTTTTCAGTAAACATATTGGAAAATTTGGAGAGGATCTGCCACAATTTGAAAACACTTTCAGATAAACTGCATAGCCTTAGAAATATTGCAAGATTAAGAAAAAGTTACATACGTAGGCTACTGGTAGTTAAGTTATGGGGGAATCAAAAGGTACACGTACTTGGATGCAGAGGCTCATGCCTGTAACCTCAGCACTGTGGGAGGCCAAGGTGGGACGATTGCTTGAGGACATGAGTTCAAGAGCAGCCTGGGCAACATAGCAAGATCCTCTCTCTAAACAACTTTTTAAAAAATGAGCCAGGCATGGTGGCACTACCTACTGGGGAATTTGAGGCAGAATTTCTTGAGACCAGGAATTTGAGGCTACAGAGACTGTGATTGAGCCACTGCAACTCCAGCCTGGGTGACAGAGGGATACCCTGTCTCAAAAAATTACACATGAATTTTTGACTGCATGGATGTCGGTGCCCCTAAACCCCCCATTGTTCAAGTGTCACTTATACTGTGATAGGAGAAGAGGGGTTCCCTTGTCTGTCTCTCCACACAGTGGCACTCCATGATTACACACACGCACACACACACACACACACACAGATGCACACACAGATGCACACACAGGCTCTGGTTCTCTTTTTGGTGTGCTCATCTTTATTTTCCTAGGCAAAAACGGCATTGTAGTGCTCCCAGGTGCTGGGGAGGAGGCTTAGAGAACTTCATGCTGGAAGGAGAGGAAGGAACCTGGCTTTTCTTCTGGGCCCCAAGGACTGGCTTCCCTCTAGCTTAGGGGATACTCAGTTAAGTTCCCCTCACACCCAGGCCTTCCCTGAGGGTCTGTCCCTCAGTCCTGCTGCTTGAGCAGTCTTTCTGGAAGGACCTTTGGGCTGGAATATGCCCTATGAGAGGCTGTAGGTGATGGGGTTACTGCACACAGCCAAACAAAGGAGGCGGAACTCACACGGTCATTAAACAGGGCAAAGTAACCAGAGGTCTTTCCGAAGAAAAGCTGTGCTGGGGCCAGACATGAGGACGAGCCTATACGAACTTGAACAGGCCAAACTCTAGGACAAAAAGCGACAGCCTTTGGAGGGTTATTGTGAGCTCTGACCTGTGTATTGTTGGAGGAAAGAACGGCAGCCATGATGGGGCGGCATCGCAGCGCTGGGAACCCACCTAGTTCCTATCAGACCACATGGAGCCGTCCCTGGGCTCCAGACCCCTGCCTGGGCCCGGGCAGCGAGACGTGGCTCCTCCTACCCAGGAGCATTTTGTATAGGCAGTGGTTCTCAACCTTCCTAATGCCGCAATGCACTTTCATTGTTAAAAAGGGGTCGCGACCCACAGGTTGAGAACAGCTGGTCTAGAGTGACAATGTGCCACGGCTTGTTGTGCAGTAGGAAAGACGGTCCTGGGGCTGGGGAACCGCACCTATCCCGGCTGACCCATGTCTCTTATTTCCTCCTCTCTCCTCCCAACCTGTTCCCTGTCTGGCTCTCACCTGCGTGGACCCGCCTCCTGTGCAGGGGAGAATCTGGGATTCTGGGAAGCCTGTGAGGATCTGAAGTATGGAGATCAGTCCAAGGTCAAGGAGAAAGCGGAGGAGATTTACAAGTGAGGATTAGCCCAAGGTGGGGCGAGCCTCCCCTGGGCTTCCCGCCAGCCACCCTGTTGTGTCAGAGTCGGGACAGGACAGGAGGGGCCACAGCCAGAGTGGCAGTCCCTGTCCTGCCTTTCCTACTGGACTATAAAGACCTCTCCGCTGCTTTGGGAGGTTTGGGGTTCCTCTTGTTCAATGCGATTCCCCTGCTCCTATGTGAACGTGGCTAGGGGTTGAAAAAGCAGAAATCCCAAATGGACAGCACAAAATGCTTTGTCTTTGACTAACCCCTGAGGTCTCCTGAGAGTGTGTGAGAGAGAAAGAGAGAGAGAGAAGAGGTGAGATGGGAAACACCTGGTCCCTAAGCTGCCGAGAGATGTGAGGACTGTGGGGCCCCCACGTGCCTGGGACAGGAGCTCAGCTGTAGAAGTGTGGGCAGCATAGCTCTTGGGTCTCACTTCATGACTCAAGTGTACTTGCTTAGTGTGGCAATAACTGTGCCCCCTCCGGGCCTGCCTCACCTCCAAATTACCCAATAGCCAAGGGTTCCTTTTAATGGGGTCAGTCCTGTGTTTAATGGCCCAGTGGAAGGATAGGGAAGCGTGTGATGGGGCCACCGAGGTTGCTGAGAGCCACACTCTCAGACCCCCAACGACCCTACCCACCAGCTTAGTGGACGCTCTTGTCCTGCTGTGTTCAGATCTCTGCAGGTCCTTCTGTCTGCACTGACCATGGCAGATGCCCACTCTGGGCTCCAAGGACATTCTTCATTCAAGCTCACACTTGTAGCTGTGGTTCTTGAAGTCCAAGCACCCATGGTGGACTGAAACCAGCTCTTCAAGGCCACCAGACCATGTGCTTAGCCTTGGACAGCAAGCCAGGCGGTCTGCTGAGGACTTGCCTTTGGGACCTCTGAGGTCTTTCTTTCAGATGGGCCCCTATTGGACCACCCCAATTTACAGAGAAGCGCTAAAAGGCAGAGGGAAGAGCTGGAGGTCTCACTCCTCATACTTAACTCTCTTGACAATTTGCCCACCTCCTCCCACAGGGAGGGGCTCCGTGTACCCAGAGAAAGGGGGTCGGGAGGAGGACTCTCAGGCCAGGAAGGTCCCACGACATCACACGATGACACACGTATGACTGCTAATTCCAGAAATCTGCTGCAAAGGAGCCCATGGCTTCCACCACCATAGCAGCTTCCTTCCCCCCAGTTACAGAAATCTCAGTTTGAATCCCAGGTGCAGCTTCAAGACTCACAAAGCATGGCCAAATTTGGTTTCACTGGGGCAAGTGGCCTGGCTGCCCAAGGGGGCCCAATCTCTGGGTGCTGAGATTTTTATGAGCTGTCTCCCAATTCAGCATTTGAGATTGGGCTGAGGGAGAGCAGAGGGTCCCAAAACACGTGTTTAGAGGTGCCTTAGCCTGGTTCCAAGTTGGTCCCAGGATCTCAGGGAATGTGAAGTTGAAGTCTTTCCCCTCATGGCCAGGGCCTAATCCAACCAGCCCTTATCACCTGCCTCCCACTCCCCTGCCATTTTCTCTCTCTTTTGGAGGGGGGAACATCAGAGTTAAATATTCACATTCTCAATATTGCATGACTATTTTCTTGCTCTTGGAAAAGTTTCTTGACAACCTCTTCAAAAGCTCAAACTCTTTAGTATCTCCTACAAAGAAAAGACCACGCTTGGCCTGGGTAACTTGAGTCATGTCCCTTCCTCCCAAGCGGCTGTGCGCTTTTCACGGACTGACTAGGTCCAGCTACTTTTGCTGATGTTTCCCCCATCCTAGGCTGTTCCTGGCCCCAGGCGCGAGGCGCTGGATCAACATAGACGGCAAAACCATGGACATCACGGTGAAGGGGCTGCGGCACCCTCACCGCTACGTGCTGGACGCTGCCCAGACCCATATCTACATGCTCATGAAGAAGGTAGGTGGGGTCTGTGCTGAGGACACAGGGATGGGGCCTCCCCTCCTCAGGTGCCTGGAAAGTTTTTTCTTTTTTTTTTTTTTTTTGAGACAGAGTTTTGCTCTGTCACCTCGGGTAGAGTGCAGGAGTGCAGTGGCATCATCATAGCTCACTGCAACCTTACACTCCTGGGTTCAAGTGATCCTCCTGCCTCACCCCCCGAATGGCTGGGATTACAGGTGTACATCATGGTGCCCAGCTACCTTTTTCTGTTTTTGGTAGAAATGGGGTCTTGCTCTTGCTCAGGCTGGTTTCAAGCCCCCTAGTTCAGGTGATCCTCCCACCTTGGCCTTCCAGAGTGCTGGGATGGGATTATAGGTGTGAACCACCATGCCTGGCCAGGAAAGTTCTTTAGCTATGGGAAAAAGGGACAGGACATGTGGCTAGCACCTTGCCAGTGGTGGGCTGCAGAATTGTCAGCTGTCCAGCCTTCTTGAAATCCTTCTCCCACTAATTGGAGAGGACTCCTATAGAAGCTGCGTGCATTCTTGGGGGCCTCAGTCTGCTGTAGCAGTACCGGTGGTCACAATGACATTAATAGTGAGAACATTGTGGCCATAGCCATCGTTTGTTGAGGACTTACGAGACACAGTTGCTGGGCAAAGCATGGAACTTTGTGTTGGACGCCAGCACACTAGGTAGGCATTGCTTCTGCAGAGTCTAGGAGCTTGCCCAAGATCTCGTCAGAGGTGGGGCGGGAACCACACTCGGGTCTCTGTGAATCCAGAGGCCAAGCGCTGTGTTGTACAGCAGCAGGAGTTCCCATGTGGTGTCTAAAAGAGACACATTGTGTGTGGTTATGGTAAAACCCTGTGAGAATTCGGATAGCCTTCTGGATTACTAATAGAATGTGAACATGATGGGAATTTTCAGAAAATTGTCAACATAAATAAAGAAATCCTCTATTTATTATGAGAGACAATCAGTCACTTTCCTAAGACATTAGAATTCGAGGCTCAGACTTACAGAAGTGGTCTAGTTGGTTCCTCTTTGGCACCATCTCTGGGTGCTTCAATTTCACAGGACGGCAATTATTTCTTTAATGGCGAAGTATCTCCATAAAGCTGGTAGTATGATGTGGGTTTGTAGGGCTGGTAAATGTTTATTGGCTTCCCTGGTTTATACTTCTTCTATTTAGCCTTTTATTGCATTATAAAAATATTTTTGCTTTACTTTGAGAACATATAATCATTTAGAATTTTTGCCAAGCCAGATTAGCCATTTTTTCTCCATTTTCTCCATTTTGGGGGAGGGGCGGCATCATTAGGGGTTCTCTGTGTTTTTGCTCCTATGAGATTCACAGCAGGGTTTCTTTAATTATATTTTTACTTAACGTATTTTAAAATGCTTTGATTCTTAAAAAAGGCAGTTTTCATATTCTGGGGCTGCCCAGGGAGCCCAGCAGAATGGAAGAGAGTCACAGGGAACGGAGGACCAGAACAGGGTGCGTGCTTACTGGACTGTGTGTCACTATGGCTGTGTCCTCTGGCAGTAAACTCTGGGTGACCCAGTGTTTGCCAAACTCTATCCTTGTTCTCATAACTTCTATTGTTATCACTTTGTTTTTAGAATAGTACCGTTTCAATAAATTAAAAAAATATTCTCAATCCCTGCATCGTTGCTGTGGCCCTGGCCCCATGTTTGGTATAACTGGAATTTCTGGGCAGCTTGGCTTGGAGTGGGCCCCAGAAGCTGCATTTCCAGCAATTGCCCTGGTGACATCGCCACACCTGGCCTGGGAACTACTGCTCTCGACACCCACCCCAAAGCCGTTTGCCCAAAGAGACAAATTCTCTCCAATTTTTCATTTTGCTGCTGATGGAGCACTTGAAAATGGGGCAAGTGTGTCAGCTTGATTTGGCAGGCTCTCTCTTAATTACTGTTTTTCTCTTCTTCCTGCTAGGATTCTTATGCTCGCTATTTAAAATCTCCAATCTATAAGGAGATGCTGGCCAAGGCTGTCGAGCCTCAGGAAACCAAGAAAAGGCAAGTGGGGTTGTCTGTAATTGTCGCTGCCTGCTGTTCGGTTTACAGACAAGTGAGGGCCCCTTGCCGCCAAATGGCTATGACAAGAGATATTTGCTTGATGAAAATATTAGGGGCTGGGAAGTATGGCTTAGGGAAAGAGCACCTCATTTGCTTCCAAATGCCCTGGAATCAGTCCACCAGATTTCCTTAGTAATCACCCCTTCATGCTGGTTTGAAAGCGTTTTGATTATCAGACCGACACTTACCTTACCACAAATGGAAGCGTCTCACTGGGTTTCTAGATTGCTAAACTTCACCACCCCCAAACTGATGCATGGGAATTCATTTAGCTGCACCCTCGTATTTAAATTGTTCCAAGACCTCAGAGAGAAGGCGTGGCAGATCATACCCCAGGAGAAAATGCTAGATTGAGGGGAAGCAGAGGGTAACACGCCAAGTGTTCTTTCGGCCTCCAGGGATTGCCTTTTGGAAGTCCCTTAACGCGTTCACTCTCACTCTCCCCATTAGACATGTGGATCATCTTTTTGCAGAGCCCCTGGGACAGGGGACGGAAAAATGTTCTGAACTCTTTTGTTGGGGGGAAAAATACTCTACAGGGATTGACAATTCAAAAGAGTGACCAAATGACAGCTTGAACAAAGTCGTGGGACTTTGGCGGAGGTTTCCCCAGCAGCGGCTGCCCGTCCTGGCCCCCCCTGGTCAGTAGATGTTCCCGTTTTCCCATTCAGCCCACACCGGGCTCCCTTCCAGCACCTTCACTCGATTCAAAACGGGGGTGGTTGGTTGGACCAGAGTCTTTATTGAAAGAGCTTAAAAAAACACCCCACTTGGTTTCATTCTTGAGGATAATGACCCTGTTGTGAAAAGAATAGAGAGGAGGTCTTTGTAGGGCTATTCTTCTAAGTTTCCAGAGTAAGGAAGGGAGTTCGGTGTCCCTGAGGACTTAAAAGCTTCTCCTTTAGGCCAGAAAAAAGGGCTTTAATAGTTCCAGACGTTCTGCCAGAAAGTAATGGGGAAAGGAAGGGGAGTTTTGTACTGCTCTCTTCAGATGGTTTATAATTTGGGGCAGACATGAGAATTTAGCTGGGGTCTTTTCTAGGCCACAGCGGGGGCTCTGAGTTCCTGGGGTGGCACAGGCCGCCAGTGCCGTGCTTAGCTTGGGCTGGGTTTATGGCAGCCGGGTAATGTTGTCTTCACTACTGAGAGTGAGAATTATGTGTAAGTTTGTGAAGTGTGAAGCTTGGCGGGTATCCATGCAGGGATTGCTGTGGGTGTGGGAATTTGTTCCATGACCTGCAGGTACAGGACAATGTCTTAGAACTTAATTTTTCCTGGGACAAGTTAAACCCGGCTCCAAGCTTCCCCCTTGGCAGGGCTAGTGAGAGATTCAGTGTCAGTCTTAACGTCTTGATAGGGAGCCTCCTCCCCCCTAGGGTCGATGCAAGAGCTCTAGGGCTTCTGTTGTGCAGAAGTTTGGAGTGGGGCCTTGATCATTGGTCTGTCATTGATGCCGAAATGCTTACTTTCCAAGTAAGCATTGTGTGGGCCCTCAAAGGCCGGTGGCTCAGCTGCTCACCATCTCCTGCCGCCCTCAGACACCTAGAGCTTTGCCCCAGTTCCTAAGGCCATGATAGAGTTTTGTCCCAGGAATCCATGGTTGGCTTCTGAAGAAGGGTTCTGACACATGCCAAGATACTGTGCCTGGGCAGGGTACCACCAGTCCTTCACCCCCCTGGGGCCCTTCCCTCTGTCCACTGAGGCCTGGCTGCCTTGGAGAGTACAGCCCCCTCACAGCTCTGGCTTTTAGAAATAAATGCTCCAACTCTCTATTGAGGGTAGAGCCCTTGGGAAACTAGACCCTAAGTCCTCCTTGCCCCCTTCCCTCATGAAGATCTTATAGGAAGTCAAGATAACAGGTGAATTTCTGAGCATCAGAGGAGGTATGACTGTGATCTTCCCCATCCAAAGAGTCTTCCTTGGGCCCAACTTAATATCTGATGGCAGCTGGTGCTCACTGTTATCTCATCCTCCCCGGGGGAGGACAGAGACAAGGTTGGACATGGCCCCAAGGACCCCACCTGTGGTTCACTAGGAAAAGGAGGGAACAGTCAGGACCTGGCCTCTGGCCCCAGCTCTCACCAGGTGTGGCTGTGTGATTGCTGGGCAAGCATGCCGTTTTCCTCCCACCACCGACCTGCCCGTCCTTCCTTCCAGCGCCAGCCTCCCGTTCATGCGGCGTCACCTGCGCTCCAGCCCGAGCCCGGTCATCCTGAGGCAGCTGGAGGAGGAGGCCAAGGCGCGAGAGGCAGCCAACACCGTGGACATCACCCAGGTCATGAGCAAGCTGGACCGTAGGAGCCAACTCAGGAAGGAGCTGCCTCCTAAATAAACCTGTGATTCCAGGGGTGGGGGGGACGCACTTGGGAGGGGCAGACAAAGAAAGGCAGGGCCAGAGTCTAGGAGACTCCATTCCCCATGAGTGGGCAGTAGGTCATCAGGTCCATCCCGTGGTCTTCTTACTCCCCCTTCACGGAGGACTTGCTGATGCCACCACAGATAGAGCTTGTTCTGCTGCTCAGCAAGGGACGGGGTGGGCATGGTGGCAAGTGGGGGGGGGCACCTGGCCCAGCTGCTGCATGACTGCCTGTCTTACCTGGGGGAGTTCTTGTGATGAGAACCCTAGGGAAAACAGGCTGCTTGTGACCCACCGTTTGCCAGGGAAAGTTAATGAGAAGGCCCCTTCCCACCCTCAAGGCACAACCTTTTCAGGGACATTTGTTTAAAATAGTTGTCAGAAGCTCCTCATCCTGTCTCTCCAGTTTAGAGTCCTGCTTGCAAAGCAGCCTGAGATCCCCCCAAGGCTAGTAGCAGGGCTCCCCCTTCCCCACCTCCCTCTGTCACCCTGGCCTGGAGAGCCCTGTTGGGACGTTTCTCTGTTGAGTGTGTCCTTTGTCACAGTTACTTGAGGGCTGGTGGGCTCCTTTCCTCCTGCTTCCTCATTCCCTTTGTACATGTTGGGGACGTAAGTAACTGGTAGGAATGAGGGACTTGGCCTCTGGGGAAGTCATCTGAAATGGCTCTCGGAGGAGCATCTTTTTGGCTAAGGAACAAAAGCTCGGATGTCTTCACATGGGAAGAGGGATGGCAGGCACCTGTCACACTTTAAAGATGAGCCAGGACCAAAGATAATACTCTCTGGGATTTTTTCTATAGGTTGATGCTTCAATCCTTTGTAGGTGTAGACTAGGCCAGCCCTGTTCCCTGGGTAGAGAGATTGAACCGTTCAAACATTGACCTTGGGAGGTCTAGAAGGTCATTCTCGAAGATAGTCTTATCCCCTACACCTGTGTAAGAAGGTAAAAGTGATAAAATGCAGAGGTGAGCAGGAGACCAGCCTTTCCAAGCAGGAGCACCCACTCAACACGTTTATTGGGCACCTACCACGTGCAAGGCATTGGTGAATAAGACAGACATATTTCCTTGCTTGTGGGGCTTATAGTCTAGGATTGATATGAAATAATTAAACACATTCTCAGATAGCTGTTGGTGTGTAACAACCAGCCACAAAACTGGAGTGGTGTATGCCAAGAAATGCTTATTGTTTGCACACGTGGGGTCACCTGTGTGGCTCTGTTGACCTTGGCCGGACTCATTCAAGTGTCTGGGGCTGATTCTGCAGTGGCCTGGGCTGGGCTGAGTGGGATGAGTCTTCTCTGCTTCACATGCCTCTCATCTGCCAACAGCCTAGCCTGGGTGTGATGCCACACTGAGGGCTGAACTGCAAGGGGCCAGTGGGAACACGTAGGGCTTCACAAAATCTCTTCCACTTCATTTTATTGACCAAAGCAAGTCATTACTCTGGCCTAGACTCAAGGGGCAAGTAAATAGACCCCACTTCTTTAGTGAGAGGTTTCAAAGTCTCACGGCAAAAGACGTAGTTACAGGGACAGCTAAAGAATTGGGGCATCATTGCAATTACCACAAATACCAGATAAAACCTGTTGAGTGGATCATAAAGGGGTGGACTTAGTGCTGTCATGGGGAAGATGGGATTTGTGTGGGGTGTCCCTCTATGAGGCACGGACAGAGAAGAGAATGAGAGAGAGTTGGCTGTACAAGGAGTGTGGGCCTGCAGGGAGAGGTGGCAGGGAGAGGGGAACATGTGGGCAACAGCTGCAAGGTGTGAAGTGGCTCAGAGTCAACTGAAAGGCCAGGGGAATGGGGCCTGGCGGGGAGAGGTCACAGGGAGAGGGGAACATGTGGGCAACAGCTGCAAGGTGTGAAGTGGCTCAGAGTCAACTAAAAGGCCAGGGGAATGGGGCCTGGTGGGTGACAGGGAAATGGTACAAGACGAGTTTAGAGAGTGGGCAGGGGCCAGGTCATTGAAGACCTCCAGGTCATTGTAAGGACTTTGTGGTCCTTACAAAGTTTCTTATTAGCAAAATGACTCCAACCCAGAAGGTGGGAGCTTGCACTTCCCACATTCACCAGTCAGCCTAGCTTGCACTCTGAAAGAGCACCAAGAGATATGCTGTATTCACCTCTCCTTTGAAGAACGTTGGCACCTCCAACTTGTACCCTAAGCAGACATCTTAGATGATGACCCTTTGTAAACTAAGTAACTTGAAAGGAGGGACCGTATTTATCTCATTCACCACTTGGAGCCTAATGCCTGAGACCTGGCAGATTCTGCACAAATGTGTGTGACATGAACAGCAGAATGAATGAATGAATGAATGAGTGAATGAGTCCTGGATTTGGAGAAAGCCTCTCCGGCCCTGGCCCTAGTTCTAGTCCTGTGTGCTTCCTCATGTATGATGAGCGGGCAGGGCCAGACCCAGCTTCTCGAAACAGACTCTATGAATCTCCAGAGGGCACCCAGGCTGGGGCACCCATTTTACTTGAGGATTTGGCACAGGAGGAAAATTAGGTAGTTTTTAAAGTTTTGCATTAAAACAATCATGAATATGTTATGAAGTAGAATGAAAAATGCCCGTAAATTTTTTAAGATAGAATTTGAGACTTCAAAGACATTTTGTGCCTGGCTGTAGGCGGGCTTAGGCTTTGTCCTGAGACCCCCGGGGGAGCCCGTCTGCCTGGCTCTCCTGCTGTTTGGCCTCCTTCTGTGGGAACATCTCAGAAGCACGAAGCCAAAGAGTTATTTGCTGTCTCTTCTTGTTAGTTACTCTGTATGAGCTGAAGTTCCATGCCTAGCAAAGTGGTGAGGCGGGCATCGGATACATCATGAATTCTTCAGGGCACAGACCGTCTTGCCCATCTTTAGCTCAACTACCTGCCATCCACACATCACAGGCTTGCACTTGGCCTGTCTCTCATTCCACCGCAGATGGCGACAAGCTCTGTGTGGGGTGCATGGGAGGCACTCCCCACATGTTGTTGGAAACCTGCTCAGTGTCAGACACGCAGGACCCACACTCTGATGAGAGACGGCGTGAGTATGTAAGTTTCTGCATCTGGAGGAAGGCATGTGATAAACGGCTTCCATGTCAGAGGGCAGTAGTTATGTCCCACAGATGTCTTTTAAAGACCTGTTTTATATAAGAAGGTGGCGGGTGCTATGGTGGGTACAAAAGTGGACAGAATGGTCTGTCCCCTCAAGGAGCCAACAAAAGTGCATGGATGCAAATGGCTATAACATGAGACAGAGTGTGACTGAGACTGCATGGTGACCCAGGAATACCCTCGAGTTGCCCAGGAAAGAATGAGCAGAGCAGAGTGGCCCCTGCAGAGCTTACCGGGTCAGGAGAAGGTGCTCCCTCCAGGCGGACACAGCCCTGCACCACCTAGCTGGCCAGGGCGCAGCTGGCATAACTGTTGATGACTGTGTGGACAGGGCACAGCTTGCATAGCCGTTGGTGACCGTGAGCCCAGGACCCATGAAGCAAGGCTGGAAAGGGTGACTGAAGTTGTGTCACAGCAGGCCACGTGCCGGGATGTGAACTCTTTCTTGTCAGCTGCAAGCACTGTGGAGGGCCTTGGTCTTGAGACCAAAGTTGTGCTGTAGGTGGCGGGTCCTGGCAGTGTCCATCCCATCCCTGGCTGGGCCTGGACACCCCTTCTCCAGCTCTCCTTGTACTCTGTTCATGCCTCTGTCTACCTGGCGTTGTTAACAATTTATGCATCTATTCCTCCCACTAGTCTGTAAAACTCCCCACCTCCCCCAAGAGGCTGTGTCTTGTGGGTTTCTGTACCCTCAGGGCTAGAAGCAGATGGGTGTGTGGTTGGCATTCTGGTTGTGCGATGAGGACCTGAGGAGTGATGATGAATAGGAAGCGATGGTCTCTGTCAGGGGCAGGGCTGGAGTAGGAGAGTGGGGAGTGTGTCTAGACAGAAGAGGTAGGATGCTGGCGGCAGAGTGCACAGGACCTGGTCAAAACGGGGTGATGCAGGAGGAGGAATTAAAGAAGAGCTGGAGATTTTGAGCCTCCAAAGATAGGGGTGACAGGAAGAAAGATGTAGACTATGGAAAGTGGACTGGATTGGGGGTATTGGTGGGGAAGGCTCCGGGGAGGTTTAGGAGTCCCAACCGCAAGTGTACACACCATTCACGTACCGCACTTGCTGAGAGCTTGTGAGCTCATGGAGCTGCAGGCTAGGAAAGAGACAAGCACAGGGCTCGACTCATAGACACAGAGGGTATCAGGACTGTGGGGAAGCAGAATGTCAAGGACGAAGTGATCAATCCCAGCCGGAGGCATCGTGGAAACTAGAGCTCAAAGATTGAGGCCATCCAAGTGGGAGGTGGAGAGCTTGTAATCATAGTACCCCTTCTTCCAGAAAGGATTTGAGGTGGCTTAGAATATTATAAACTATATGATGGAACCTCTGAGATGATAGACTGACAATCAATTTCATTATTTTTTTTTCTTTTTGCCTAAACTCACGTGGTAAGAATCAAAATCAGTTTTTAAAAGTAGGGCTGTGCACAGTATATCTTAGATGACTGGGTTATCACAACTAATCATTTCATTTTTTTTTTTTTTGAGCTTTTTGACAGCTATCAAGCAAAAAGGGGACATATTGGCCTTAGGATTCTATTGTGTCATGAAATAAAGCATTCAAATCCGTCTTCACCTACATCAGTGGTTCTCAACCTTCCTAATGCCATGACCCTTTAATCCAGTTCCTCATGTTGTGGTGACCACCAACCATGAAATTATTTTCATTGCAACTCAATGAAATGAGACTTGACTGTCTTATTCAGCTCTGCAACCTAATGCCCATGTGGCCGGGCATTCAATCTCTCTCTCTCTCTCTCCCTAGAACTGTATTTTTAACTTCCTGTTCATACCTAGTAGTGGGTAAAGGATC